AGTGATTATAACATTCTTATTTTTATATAGAAATTCTCTTATGCCTTTATAGGCAAATAAAGAGCTACTACTAATATCAAAAGAAAAATATTCCAATACAAAAATATGAATAATAAACTTTGACAAAACTTTATTAACCAAGTCTCATCTAATTTAAAATTAACTTACATTTCTCTCTTAACTCAGACAACTGTCTTTATTGAGACAATCTGGTACAAAATCCAAACTAGTATCATCTTTGCTGCATATATACATATTTTAAATAAAAAATTTATTATATGCAACTTTCAACATATATTCTTTTCAAAAGCATTACAATTATACTTTTTATTTTAAAAAACTTAAAAACATCATCAGACAAACCAAAGCTTCTATTTAGCAACAATCAATTATACTTACTCAACACAATTAAATAATTCATGAACTTAACCTTTCTTACCTTTTTAATATTTCATTTATACCAAATGACTATGTACTATTATCTAAATAGATCTATTTAGCTAACACAGAATAAAAATTATTATATTATACATGCAATTTAGAAAGCATTAAAAACATTAAAGAACAAATTAATAATAACATAACAAAAAGATGCTCTAAACTTCAACACAAATCTATATTAATAATTAACAGTATACTTAATCGACACTGTGATCCTGTCAGATTTGATAACATCAAAACTGATACTGATATCATTACAAAAATTCCACTTTTTAAACAACACATTCAGGACCACATTGATCAATGGACTTCTCTCTGTCATATTCAAACTCAAATCTTTAACTTCTTTTAGTTAGATGAATATCAACTTAAAACTGATATCAAATCTGACTAATACCAACATGCTCTTACTAACTTTACTGAAGAGGAAATTTTTATAACTCTAAACCAACTTCCTAACAACAAAGCCTATAGTCTATTAAGTATTAGCTATGAAATGCTAAAACATGCAGGCCTTATATTTATATTAGTTATAACTACATTATTCAACAAATGTCTTGAACTAAAGTGCATATCTAAGTAATAAAAAGATAGAAGAATATTTTCAATATCCAAAAAACCTATATTTGATAGCAACCTTACTAATACTAAACCTATCAGCCTTCTTGACATATTAAAAAACTTTATATAAAACTTCTTACTAATAGACTTAATAGTATCTTTATTCAATACTCTATTTTATCTCTATACAACTATATTGCCCTTCCTGGCAATAGTATATCAATTCCAATACATATTTTAAACAATACTATAGAAGATGTTTTCTCAACTCTAAATAACTTTGACTACTATTACAAGATATAAGTAAAATTTATGATTCTGTCAATCTTAATCTTTTTGAAAAATCCTTATTACAACTACAAATGCTTTAACACCTCATTAAAATCCTAACTAATCTTCTTACTAATCACCATAATCATGTTATAACTAACCTTGGACTCACAAACTTTTATACAGTCAAAAATAGCATTGATTAAAAAAAAACAATTATACCACTTTTCTGAAAAATTTATTATAATTCTTTTATTAGTAAAATTGCCAACCATTTTCATAAATATATCCTACACATCTTATGGAAAACTAATCTTTCCTTACCCAAACTACAAAACTTACAAACCTCTATATCTGTACTGGCATACATGGATGGTACTTTCTAGATAGCACAGTTTAAAAATGAACTTGAATCAATTACCAAAATAGCAGCATCCTTCTATCACATAGCAGATATACAAATTAATTCAGCCAAATCGATTTTGGTTTCTAATATATCATCTACTGCTGAAGTTTCTTTTTTTAATTCATCAATTAAACTTATTATAGCCAACCAACTATTCAAATTTCTAGGCTGCTGGTTCATACTTAATGGATCTATATCCAAACAAGACCAGCTAATTCAAGCTGAAGCAACCCAACTAATCAATATTACTAGTACTAAAAAAATTACTAGAGAACAAATAACATATATCATTAATACAATAATCATACAATCTATTGAATATAAACTATACAATACTATTCTCTCATACTTTATATACAATAGCATATTAGCCAAATACCTTATTATAGCTAAACATAAATCTAACTTATTCAGATTCTTTTCTAATAACTTTATGTTCAACTTATATTTATACAATATTCATAATATTTGGGACATCCAACTGCAACATTATATCACTAATTTTCAACAATGAATTAATGATCCTAATATTCTTGGTATAACAACTAAGATTAGGCCACAACAACTTCAAAATAACCTCTGGTTTACTACTAACATTCTTCAATATAACTAATCTATTATTAACAGATACAACAAACTTACTCTTAATTTTAAAATTATTAGTTGTTCTAACATTTTAATATTACAATCTTTGCTTATCACAATATATTATGACCAAATACTATACACAATGCATGCCAACCAATTGAACCTATACTCATACAATATCCAAAATACGTTACTTTTAAATAATAATTAAGAAAACTTAATATCCTATATTTAGAGCAACTATGTACTGCTGATAACAGTACTTTACTTAAATAGCAACATCTTTCACCAAGACTACACCAACTAACAAAAAGAAAACAATCTTTATGGTTTACTTCTCTTGAAATAAAATCATATCAGATAAATATCACAAAACTATCTTTCTTACTTTCAATCATCTAGTACCAACTCTTTTGTATACAATATATATTCTATTGCCAAAAAACAAAAACCTTGGCTTTTTATTTATCATTCCAATAATTAAGAAATTATTATTGGCAAAATTTGCAAATATATCTTTGCCTCTAATTCATTTTTGATTACATATTAGAAATCTAATATTAATTTAGATTATGATCAATATTATCTATTTCCATCTATTAAATACAAACTATATACAAAATGTCTTCTTAATTTAAATAGAATTAACCAAATATGTATTATTAACATATTAGCAATTATTTCAGCAACATTTTAGCTAAAAAAACCTTTAACAATCTTAAACTTAATGCTAATTACATTGATCTTATATACTCAATAGCTATTAAACACTCTTTATATATACCTCCTATATCTCCCAATATTATCATATACAACTCTAGCATTTTAGAAATCTTTAAACCAAACAGCTGCACTTATAAGCTTTAAGATATTTACCTATCTAATTTTACAAATAATAACTTTACTTTTTATACTGATAGTTCTGTTATTAATATTGGATCAGAACAATGTTCTATAGATATTGGATAGGTTCAAATCAATAAACAAAATTAAATTATCTATAAATTTTTAGCTTAAGTATATTTATAGCTATCATTTTATAAAGCTGAATTAGTCTTAATTTTATCTGCAATATCTACTATATCCTACAATTCATCTATTAGCATCTACACAGACTTATAATCTTTTATTTTAAAATTTTACATACTATCGAACCAATTACAAAACTCTAACAAGTTATTTAAATTTAGCACATGGTCCTTATGGCATATTTTACTTAATATTATAAAATTCTTTAACTTTCAAATTATCTTTTACAAAGTTTAAGCCTATACTGATAATTCTTTCAACAACCTTGCAGACTTCTTAGCAAAACAATATATACTTCTTTAACCTCTTATTTTTAATTATACTAATATTTATATTCTTTATCATATTCTTTAATAGAAATAAAACTTTATTAAACTACCAACTAGATATTTTATCAAAAATATATACAAAGCATATATACTAGCAATGTAATCTTTACAAAAAAAAAACAGTAAATGGTCTCATCTAAACCACCTCATAGACTGAACCTCTTCTTGGCTTTATCTTAATCATAACCAAAAATCTACATCTATTTATACTAGTTTTAAACTTAATCAACTCAAAGCTTTTAAATCTAAATTGTTATTAAATAAGCTATCTACTTAATTCTTTCTTCATAACAGATATCTTTATATCTTTACCAATACTAATTGCTTCAAATGCAATCTTCATCAGCAAATTTATAGATACGAAATATTTTGAAAGATTTTGCATAACAAAATAATTTTGAAATATTGCAAAATAAATTTTAAAATTTTTGCTAAATGCAAAATGTTTCAAAATGTTTTAAAATATTTTAAAATATATTTCATAATTATTTTGCTATGCAAAACCTTTCGAAATATTTCACATTTATAATCTACATTGAGCAATTCATTTTTGAATTTTTTTTTCTAATTTTTAATTTTTATTTTTTAATTTTGATCTTTTTTTTAAATTTTTTTGAATTTTTTATTTACTTTATTTTTTTTTCTTTTGATTTTAAAATTTTATTTACTATTTTTTTTTTTCTTTTGTAATCTTGTGCTTTACTGGAAAGGATCTTAAACCTGGAACTGGTACAAAGATAAGTTTCAGTTCACTTTTTTTATTATTTTTTTTTTTGTATTGCTACTAATTTTTATTTTCTTTTTTTTTAGGTCTTGTGCTTTATCAGAAAGGGTTAAGAGGACTGAGATCAGGATTTTGAACCAAAATAAGTACCATTTTTCTTTTTGTTGTTTTTTTTTGGTTTTTTTTTGGTTTTTTATTTCTTTTGTTATTACTAATTCTTGTTTTTTTTTCTTTAGGTTTTGTACTTCATAGGAAGGGTTAATGGAAGCTGGAATCAGGATCTTAAATTAAAATAAGTATTATTTTTCCTTTTTTTGTATTTTTTTTGGTTTTTTTTGGTTTTTGTTTTTTTTATAGTTATTAATTTTTGTTTCTTTTCTTTAGATTATGTGCTTTACTAGGAAGGGTTAATGAAGGCCAGGATCAGGATCTTGAATCAGAATAAGTATTATTTTCTTTTTTTTGTTTTTTTTTAGTTTTTTTTTTAGTTTTTTGTTTATTTTATAGTTACTAATTTTTGTTTCTTTTTTTTTAGATTTTGTACTTTGCCAGAAAAGGTTAATAGAGGTTGGGATTGAGATCTTAAATCAGAATAAGTATTATTTATTTTTTGTTTTTTTTTTTTGTTTTTTTTTGTTTTTTGTTTTTTTTTATGATTAGCAGCAGGAAGGGTGAGCAGACTTTTTTTCTATTTTATAGAATTTTTGGGTAAGTTGAATATATAAGTTAAAAGCTCTGAAATCATCAAAATCTATATTATTTTTTTATATAAAATACCCAAAAACATATTCTAGAGGCTAGGTTTTTTTGGTTAAAAATGATCCTTCCAGAGTCCCAAGAACAATAATTTAGTATTCTGGTTAAATCAGCACTTGAAAGCTCCAAGAATAATAATTTAGTATTCTGATTAATCAATATTTAAAAAGACCAAGAACTATAATTTGTTTTCTTGCCTAGCTGAAGTCTCTGAAAACTTAATTTCAATGACAAGCATTTTGCTTTTTATAATACATTTTTATTATATAAAAAATATATTGTATAGCTATTTGCTGTTTTTTTTGCTTTAAAATATATCTAGATAACATTTTAGCTTTCTTGTCTAATAAGTCTCTAAAATTTATTATTGCTAACTATATGAGAGTGCAAAGCATCTGAAATGTGAAGTGAAGTAGAGTATCTAGTTATCATATTGCTTTTTTGTATAGTTTGAGTTTTCAAAATCTATGCCAATCATGAACAAATGAAGTGCAGTAAGTTATTGAAGAGCATTTTTAAGTCAAGCAATATATTGGGAAACATAAAACCCAGGCTTCACACAAAAAGTGCAAAGAACATGTTTTTTGGCTCTCCAATGAAGAGAACAACTATCAGAATGCATACAACTTCTATTATAGTTTTTATTAGAATTATAAAGATAGAAGCAGATATATCTATTATATGTTTATTTTAAATAAAGAAAAAGATATATATATATATTTTTTTTTTTAGTTAAAGTTTCTGTCTATAGAAGTTGATGTTTTTATTTATGTATTTGAACATAGGTGCCTCCAGGGGCTTCCTTATATTGGAGGTTACAACTAGCTACACGTGCACTTTTTGTGCCTAATTTAAGTAGTCCATCTATATATTACTATACAGGTTCTACACTAGGTGCCATACCTGCAAGCCAACTACGAGTCTTGCCTATTTAAACCTTCTGCATATGTAGTTCATCATGTCTCATAGAGACATCTTCAAGGCTACACCTATTCAAAGTACCTGATGCCTTCAAGTACCCTTAGAACTAGTTTATCCTCAACAGGAAACTTACTAGAACCTTCTGTGTTTCATACATAGCTAATCTAGTTTTATGCAACATGCTATAGTTACCTAATACTTGCAGTCACAGAAGTTACCTGTTTAATTACTATATTATACTATTTCTACTCTTGTAAAGTTTACTAGAACCCCAGTACCTATCATCATGACATCTTTTTTATTCTCCCTTACTAACCACTACTCAGAACTGACAGGACTCCTCTGACTTCCAATCCAGATAGCCTGGTATGGTATATTTATGTATCTTTTTTCTTTAGTGATTCTAGCGGCCTGGTTGGTCATATGCTCTTCTATACATCTTGACATCCGGTTTATCTGCCTATCCATTTAGAGGTATTTCATGGACTTCTATCAGTCTGACTGTATCATCGAAAGTTCATGCTACCTCTTTACTCGAGAATTTCCAAGTAGGCATATGAATCTTCAGTTCCTTAGTTTACTGTGCCCGGTGGTCTTATCGTGGGTTTGTACCAAAGTCTTATACAACACCAGTTATTAACATTCCTCTATGTATATGTAATATTACACTTGGCATAAATGCTCCAAGCTTCTATTTGAGATGGTGTAACTTAAGGTTACAGATACACAAATTCAACCAATCGTCAAGAGACAGTTTGTTATAACACAGATTAATTTCCAAATTTCATCATAGATGGAATTTGAACCTTAGATCTGCCACTTGGAGAATGACAACCCAACTACTATACTAGAATCACCATCCTTGAAAAAAATATATTTAAAGTATTATTATAGATAACAAAAACAAGTATTCAAAAATAGTTGACTATAAAGATATCGAAACAGCTTTAGTTGAAGTAATTAAAGTAGCATATAGTCAAGATACCAAAAAATATGACAAATTAGGAGCAATATATGTAAACTATCTTAAAACTTTATAGCGAAAAAGAGATCCAGAAGATCATATTAGATATATAGCAAAGCAATGCACTTCAAATAAGAAAACCTATAATGAAAGAATGGCAGATTTTAAAAATTGGTACAATAAAGAGATATATACTAGTTTAGAAAAGTTATATAAATTATATTTAGAAATAGCCAATCAAGAAGAAAAAGTAAAAAAGTAAACAAAATTACAAGTAAATGAAATTCTTCAAAAAATACATAGTTTAAAAATTTAAAAATTAATATATATTAAAGATACCAACTTCTCTATTAATCTTGTAATATCTATTTGGATAAATATTCAATCTTATCAACTTTCATTAATTGTTCATGAACAAATGATCTTTCAGGTTCATTGCTATTTTTATCTGTAATCAGTACAATACTGGTTGATTTTTTTGTATTAAGGATTCTTTAATATGATAAACTTTCGAAAACTAATTACAATTAGTCACATGATGTTTTTCACCTTCTAACTTATCTGGTTCAAGTAAGTATCTTACCAAAATATTATAAAATAATCGAGATTCATCAAATCTAACAGAACTATTGTAAGGTAAAGAAGGCATAGCACTAACCCATTTTTTTTGAATAGCTTCTGCAGAAGTTATTTTAAGAAGTTAAGTTACAGAATTATTAAGTTCTTTAACAATAATTAGAAGTTCTTTACCCAAACCCTAAATCTTTTAGATATTGGCAATAGCAAATCTGATGCATCTTGTATTCGAAACAATCTCTCTGCCAAGGTTTGGTTATATCTTTTAACAATATTCATACTATGTTTAGAATTAGCCATCTGGATTTTTATACCATGCCTTTTTATCAGTCTCTTACAATCCTTTCTAAATTCTGAGCCCTTATTTGTTAATAATAATTTAGGATAAATAAGTGAACATGTTTAATCATTATAAATGTCTTAGCAATAGTATTAAAAGTTAAAATAATTTTTAGGCTCAAAGAGCTATTGCTTTGCAATAGATTAACATCTTTAGCTTTTAGCTGGCTTATGTTAATATTAGAAATAATACCTCCAATTAAAATTGATACTTTATATTTACTTGCTATATCTTCTATATTAAGAAAAAACATATAGGTTATTTTTCTAATTTTATCATAAGGCATATAGAAAATATCAGCCTGATGACATTCATTAGGAATTTGAATCATATTAAATAAAACTTGAGAAATATACCTTGAAGGTGGCTTGTAAATCTGAAAAATGGCTTGCTTTTTAACCAATTATATATCTTAGCTAATGAAAAATTATGTTTAGCCCTTCTACATGCATTACCCATTTTTTTAGCAGTCTAATAATAACCTTCAGGCCTATAATAAATTTTTTGCAAAGTAATCTCCTTATTCAAATTATAGATCCTTTGTGGGTCAATATAAATTATGGGTTTCTTTATTTCTTTGTTTTATTATAGTAATAAAAAACATAAAGAAGTTATTGCAAAAGAATAAGACTATGTTTCTACAACAAACTAACCAGAAACTCTATAAGGTAGTATTACAATTAGCTGAATCAAATAAAAATTTTGAACAATGGCTATATATCTTAGAAAGAGTTATAGGTATACATGAAGAAAAAATACAATATCTTGAAAAAGAGTTAAATAACACTATTGAGCTTTCTAGACAAGACAAAGAAGAATTATTAAAAGAAATCTCAAAACTTAAAAAAATCATTTATCAACTTAAAGAAGAAAATAAAAAGAAAGATAAGAAGATTTCTAATAAGAATAAGTTAATATCAGAATTTGATGAACAAGAGACAAAATTAAAAACCAGAATTTATGAAATATCAAAATTAGCTGGCAATACTCCTAAAGCACAAGATTATACAACAAGATTAGTGGATGAAAACGAGTGACTTAAACAATAAATAAATACAATAAGGACTAGTCAAATAAATAGAATTAACAAAATAACTTAGCAAAAAAAATCATATTACTGACCTTTTTTGTCAGAATTTTGCTTTAGCATTATTAAGATATTGAGATAGATTAGAACTTATAAATACATGAGAGGCATTAGAAAATGCATAACCATGGAATTATAATGAAAATAAATCTAATTCTGATGAAAATTCTCAAGATAATTATACTTTTGATTTAGATATAGGCATAATAGCTGAATTGGCTGATGCTATAGACAGATCCTTAAATAATACAACAATATGTAAAACCATTTTAACAAATTAAATTAAAAGATTAACAAGATCAATTTGACATAAATATGCTAACTTGCAACAAAATCTGGTAAATGAACAGTGGAATCGTAATATATATAAGCAGAAGCAAGATCAGGCATTGCAGCAATTAGAAAATAAATAAGCATTTAATAAATATTGGTGAGACTGAATATGTAATAGATATATAAAATAGAAAAATAAAACTAAGGATAAGCATATACAAATACAGAATTGTCAAAATGAAAGAGCTCTTAATGAAACTTGGTGAGATTGACTATATTATCAATATAAAAAATGGAAGAATAAGACTAAAGATGAATGCCAAATAATTCTAAATCAAAATCAGAATATTTTAAATTTATAGCAACAAAATTTTGCATTAGTAAATAATCAGCAAAATCAACTGATGACATTATCTGTAGGATTTGCATAACCAGAATTCCATGATGGTGAAGAAGATCATGAAGATTTCGTAGATAGGTTCATATCATATATTACCTTGGCTGGAGTAAATAATAATGCAAATATTCTTACTATATTAGATCAATTCTTAAAAGAAGAAGTGAGAGAATGGTATCATAGAGAATTTGACAATAAAAATTAGGAGTTAGAAATATACTTAATAACTCTAGTATAGGTGCAACAATAGTACATATTTGTGATATTAATGCAGGAGGTATAATAGGTGCAGTCACTTCTTTGCCAAATGTTCCACTTGGACTTACAGGTGCACAAATTATCCCTGCTCAAAATGTTGCTGAAGATTGGACAATAGCAGGAGGACATCCAACTAATGCAGTACCAGTTGCACCAAATGCTGAAGAAGGTAATCCTATTGTTCTTACAGGAGTTTGATCAGAACAAAGACTTTATCAGATAAAAAAACATTATCTAACTGTTAATAAATATGTAAAGATGTTAGAAATTGGAGCATTAAGACAAAACATATATGAGAGTGTACCTTCATTCTGGGCAAAAATTCAGAAATATGGTGATCAACTGGGTTATACTTCAGCACAAAAGAAATCTCATTTCTTATCTGGAGTTAGACCTGACATTAAAGATAAAATTTATAAAATTGGTCAAACAAAACCTATTAATAATATTATTAATAGTTTGGCAGAATTTGAATTACGTCATGAAATATTACAATAGGCACCATCTCAACCTCACTATGCATCTATTGCTCCTGCTATTCCAGATGTTATACCTCAACAACTAGCATTCCCCATGGCTGATATGCAAAAAATAATTCAAGATGCATTTGCAAAACAGCAAGCTGAATCTAAAGCTAAGATAAAAAAATTAAAGGCTGAACTTCAAGCATAACAACTACAAGTTGCAATAGTAAAAAATTTTCAACCCTCACTCAAGTTTTACCCTATAAAATTAGAAAAACCTTGGCAAGCATTTTACATAGTAGATCAAGAAGATAATAATATGGATTCACTTACCCAAGATCCAGATTACCTTAAATACCTTGAGCAAGCAAAAGCCTTATATAAAAAACCACAAAGATCTAACCAATCTGTTAGAATGAATAAAATAGAAGAAGGGCTTAATGAAATTTGAGATACTATAAATCAGTTAACAGACCAATTACAGAAAAAAGTGTATATAAAGAAATATAGAATTTGTGAAGAAACAGGCCATAGCAAGGGCAAATGCCCCAATCAACCTATAGTCCAATCTAATTATACTCGATCATATTTTACATCTCTCAAGCCAATATATCTCCAATACACACTTTCTAGTTCAGATGATAGCGAGGAGGATGAAGGTAGGTATAATGAGGAAGATAATCAATGACATGCCCCTCCATTCTATTTAAAAAAAAAAAAGATATCATTAACAATAAGTAAGCCATTACAAAATAAATTAATAATTTCATGCAAATCTTTAGTTACAGAATCTAAACAAAATGAAAAAGTCACTATGCCAAACCTTTTTCCAAAATTGGATGACCAGTTATTAGAATTATTATCTTCAGCAATGCAAAAAAAAATTATTGACCCATCTACAAAAAATAAATGGGCCGAATCACTTGAATATATGCAGTGTAGAATTAAAGATATAATTATTTCAGATGGGTTTGTCAATACAGCATCAGAATGTCTTGTTATGAATAAAACATTAAATGAGGCATTAGGATGGAATCTTGGGATGGCACCAAATTTTTCCCTTAAACATAATTCTAATTATATAATGAAATTAGGAGGACATAAGGATGTACCAATATCTATAAAATATAAAAATAAATAGGTTACTGAAACAAGACATGTTGTTATTAATGATGGAAAACCTAATTATCTTCTTTGTTTAGAAATGCTATAGATTCGAAAAGTTCAAGGAATTCTAGATACAAACAAACATGAATTTCAAATGATAGTTCATAGAAAATCTTATATTATTCTAACCTTTATTAAGCCAATCAAGGATAATGTTTTATCAAATCTTTATACAACAGTGATTCAGGATAATAATTCCAAAAATTAAATTTTCGATTTTTCTACCAAGATCAATACTAAAGAGGAGCCAACATCTAATAAGAAAAAAGAGTCACAAGTTTTTGATTTATTTACTGAAGATCTAAAAAAAAACATAATAGATTCTGACAAACAAATCGATTTCTTTCTTAAACTAGAATTCCATTCCAAGATTCAAATCATATTAGGTATGAAAAATCTAGAAAATAAAGCAACTATTAAAAAGAAATTTATTAGAGTTCTTGATTATGCAAAATATCTTGAAAAGGAATTGATATGATTTCAAGATTCAGCTTGAAGCTGTTTTTTATATTCTCATAAATTTTCTATTCTAGCTTGCACATCACTTCCTGGTATTAATAAGATAGAATGATTTATAGTTTTTGATTCTGATTTTCTGCTAGTCTTTTTTGTCACTGGTTTGCTCAAAAAAATTACTTGCTTAGGATTTCTGGCACTTGATAAGCTATGTATAGGCAAGATTTCTGATTGAGGTATTGAGATAGATGAATTCATAGATGTTATTTCTATTTCAGGTGGTTGAGAATATATCTGACAATTTACAATATTATTATATCTTTCACTACCAATTTTATAATTAGCATATATAATGTGTTTTCTATTTGGTATCTGTTTTGCATAAGCATTTCTTATTTTTTTGATTGCTTCAGAAGTTAATGGAGTAGCAGTAGGGTTAAGATATTGTCAAACTCAAGATCTAACTTTGGTTTTAACCATTTTAGAAAAATATATATTGATATTAAAAAAATATTCAATTTAAATCTACGAAAATATCCATTCATTTCTAGTATGTAATTGAATAAAAACTGAGTAATAATTGGGCAATAATTAGATACAAATCAGACAAAAACTGAGAAATAATTAGTACAGACTTGATTATAGATCTATTTTCATATAAAACTGGTTAATTATTATTTTATACCTAGCTAAGTATCAATTTTTGTCCAGCTAATTACTAACTTTCACCTAATTATTGCCTGATTAAATACCAATTATTATTTGGGTTCCTTTTTATTCATAATCAGTAAAAAGTCAAATTGTGATTAGTTTTTTTCTTTGAACATAATTCTCTTTGATTATATGGTACCAATATGTATTTTGTATAGTAAATCTACTGATGCCAAAAATTTTCAAAGATGTGAATATAAATTAGATAGTAGTAGAGAATATGAACTTGAATCTCAATGCAATAAGTTGCTTCTTGAAACTGAATTTTTTACTAATAAATGTTCCAAATTTAGAAATGCTAAAGCTCTTACAGAAGCATGATCTGATGTGATTACTAAAGAGCTAAAAAAAAAAAATGACAAGATTTTACATCTTCAGAAAAAAATAAATTGGTACATTAATGACAAAAATCAAAATGACTTGATTAAAAAACAATTTAAAAAAGAAATTAAAGAGTTAAAAAGCAAAAATATCAACCTTACTGAGTATAAAGCCAAATATTATAGTAAGTTGAAAAAAGTGAATTCATTCCAATCTAGAATCAAGTTATTGGAAGAAGAATTATTTTTAACTCAGAAATACTCATCAAAAAAAGATTCTGAAATAATGTCCTTTAAAGCTGAATTGGTGAATATAAAGATTGAATTAGATTCTAAGGTCAGTAAGCTTGAGCATCTAAAATTAGAGGATATTTCGATATCTGTGATTGGTGGAGATAGTGAAAAAAATATATCAAAGTCTAGACCTGAAGGGTCATTGTTTTGCAATAATAATATCTCTGCAGTTAGTGAAACTAGCAAAAATCTCAATCAATATTTTGCACGCAGAAAAATAATAAATGAAATCAAAAAATTAGCACTAATATACTGACTCATGTCAATGATAAAATTGTTCTAATATTAGAATCTTTAAAAATCGATATTGAGGTTACTTCTAAGGTAAGTGATGAAACTATTATTAATGAAAATAATAAAGATAATATATTACAACTAATTAATGCAAAAAATCAATTTCAAGAGATAAAGAATGTGACTCCGATTAGATCTCATAATATTATAATAAGAAGAAGTAGGGAATTACCTATTATAGCATTAGGTGCTAGCATAGTTAATAAATATCAAACTACTCCTATTAAGTTTGTTATTTTTACCTTAATAATATTATTAATTATATGGTATATATACAAACAAATTTTTTATTCAACTCTGCCTTTTTGTTCTTTAAACTCAAAGCCAGATTATATCTACAGTATGACCACCTCTGGTAATTTGTTTTCTGGAATATATAAACTGATCATGAATGAACAAAGTGAAGTAAATTATAGGGTAGAAGAAAATTTTTATCCAGTATATAGAAAACAGAGTTATAGATTTCTAATCCATCATGCAAAAAAATACAAAAATATCTCTTATGAAACTATTTCTTATGGATATAGATAAAGCTAATAAACATGTTGCATCCTGTTGTTAATCTTATCTAGCTAGTCCAACATGACCCTTTAGAATGATAGTTACAGAAAAAAGTGAATTAAGTAAGACTAATATTTTAACAAATCTTTTTCTTAGTGATAAAGCTGAATACATATATAAAAGAAAAAAAGGTGATAAGAGATATATTTCTTGTAATGATTTAATAGTTTGTGGTTATCATCCTGATGAGCCAAAATAGGCATTTGTTAGATATATGTATGGCATAATTTCAAAAGACCTAAAAGCACCTTACTATGAAAATATACAATTTAGCTATATATCATTAGAAAAAATCTCTAACGTAAAAGCATTTTCATTTAAACAAAGTACAGCAATTGTTTTTGAGGATTTGTGTCTTGCTTCAGAACATATACAGAATCAAATTAGGCAATTTTTTGAAAATGGGCAACATCGAAATATTTCATGTATATTTGTAGCACAGAAATATCATAAAATCACTACATTCATGTATGAAAATGCAAATTATTTAGTACTTTTTAATTCTGGTAGCTCATATAAAGATGTCTTTAAAATTATTCATCGATATACAAATAATGTAAAAAATACATTAATAGTTATTAACAGTTACTTATGCAAAGGTAAATTTATTGTGTTTGATTTAGATAGGCCAGAAGATAATCCACTAGCAATTCGTTTAAGGTTCAATACTCTACTGAATTTGTAGAAAGAGATAGAGTTACATCAAAAGCACAAGATAAAAAATGCATTGCCAGCTGAGCCCATAAATTCTGAATCTAAAAAAGCTAAAAAATCAGCCACATAAGTGCTCTGCTTCACAGAAATAAAAAGTTTGTTAGCATTAATCTTGTTAAAGTATACACTTCATAAATTTTCATTTTATATTAATACTTTTTTATTTGAGTTAATATAAAGAGCCAAGATGATTTGTTTGTTCACAAACTTCCAAAGCACTTAATCATATTATATACTTAGAGACATAAAAGTGGCTTGCTATGCAAGAAAATTATTGATAAAAAAGATACCCAATTGTAATTTCAAGAATAGTATTAAGAAAATGATGAACAACTACTTTATACAAAAAATGTTATATTATCGAAGCTAGTACAAGATGCTAATAAATCGAATGATAAATTGAATAAATAGTATAATTAAGAAATTGATTTTATTTTGCTTCAAGTGCTAAAAGACACTTTTAAAATTTATCTCATAATTGGTTTTTCTTTCTACTTATCCAATCATATAGAATATAGTATTCTTCATATTTATTATTAATAAAATGGCTGACTATATTAGAGTTACATCTTCTATACATTGCAATTTTCTTAGCATTCTACAAATTAAACTGATTTCAAGTTTGAGAATTTTTTACTTTATGAGAAGTTAGGCCTAGAAATTTCTTATCATCTGGAATATTATTATTCAGTAAACTCAACCAGGCAAGTCATGCATTTAATGGTTCTCTTTCTTTAAATTAACAAAAGATTTTTGTATAATCTAAGCATATCTGAAATCAGTTTTTGGTTTATCACATTCATGGTCCCAATGATACTTTATCAAATCTGCTGGTTCAATTTTTTCAATATATCTATAGAGAGCAGAAGCATATACTTTTTTTGGTTTCACATCATTAACTTGAATCAATTGCCAGCAATTAAGACAAATTGCAATATGATTTTTATAAATTCTAGTTCTGTAGTAATTATGATTGACTAGTTTGGAATTTCCAAATCCTGTATATAAACAGTGTACATGATATATGCTTTTTTTCTTTTTAAAGACTAGCTCTTGTAAAGGAACTCTTACATGAATAGCCTATTGCTGTGGAGTTTTATTTGGTCGAATAACTGATAAAATATTATACTGTCTTTCAGCCTCAAAGAATCATTGATAATCATTAATACCACAATATTTGTAAATATATAACTCTACATATTTCATATCATATCTAAGACAATTATTAATAAGTTTTTACAATTTAACTTTTTTATCAATAATAGTAGGAATAACAAAACCTAACATATTTGATGATTTAATAGACTTATAGTTTGTTTAGTAATTATATGAGTCTTATAGACCTATTAGATTTTATTAACTATATACTAATAAATTGTGATATTTATTTTTTTGAGTACTCAAAATATACAAAAAAGCAAACTGATTATAATCTAATGCTAATTATTTTTGTATTTTGCTAATAAACCTCTTCTTACAGGCTCAAGATCTTAAATAAGTAGAAGCAAACATAAATATTGAGTTTAAAGAATGACTATATAGAATTTTTAATATAGCAATTATATTTACCGAGATAGCTTCATCTTGAATTTTTAATTTTTGGTAATTGAGAACCTAACTTTAAAGATTTAGAATGCTTCTTATCCCATATTACAAGCTTTTTTGATATCTTTGCTTTTTTATTATTATTATCAATGCCTACTTTTATATTATCATCTGAATCTGAATTGCTAAATAAGGAGCCAAATTTTCTATTTTGCTTGATTATTGTTAAGTAAACAAAAAAAATAACACTATGTCATATACCAGAAAGAACTGATAGATTTCTATGAACCAGAATATTAAATCGAAAGGCAACTATCTAACTCTGTTTAATATGAAAAGCTAATTTAAGCTCAGAAAATACCAATTACCTACCCTCAAATACTTCAAGTGGTCACACTACACAAAGTGAATTGCGGTGATCTTTTAGATCCCAATGAAACTGACAAATAGCATTAAAGTTAATTGCCATGGTAGAAAAAATCCCAAATGGCTTAGGAACATTTGGACCAAGATCTAGTTTTTTTATTTTTATGTATAGAATTAGATATGCTTCTCGAAAATAATTATTAATAGTATTGGATAATAGTTGGAGGCCTTGGACTAGGTCATTAATGTATTATTGATAACTTTGATAGTGTGAAGATGCCATATTTGCTATGGTATATGGTTCATTATTGCTACTTGTGAAATCTCTGCCATTTGTTTCACAAATTTCTTGGATTGGTGTAGTGGATTATGAAAAGTGTATTGATAATAATGGTCTACTACTGCTTTGGCATTATTTGTTATTATGAGGTTTGGAAAGGAATAAAAATCTGCAATTGTTTTGCCCAATATATTTTTAAAGCATTGGGGCTTGAAAATATGTCTGTATTCGCTAAGGTTAATGCTACTTATAACTTTTTTTGTTGTTTTGTCTGTGATGTTAAGCTTATCTTTTGAGTTTCGTTAAAATACCTTAGGAATATCATAATGCTCTAAAGCCTTTTTTTGAGCCTTCATCTGCTAATTATGTGCATGCAATATCTTTGACCAGAGACAACAACAGTACCTTCGAAACTGTTTATAATAAGTTTTAGAAGTCTTAAAGTGTGCCTATTTTGCAAATTCCATTCATAGCTTATGAATTGAATATGTTTTAAGGCTACTATCAGAATATAATATATTAAAAATTTCTGATTCTAATAAGTTTAGGAATCCAGTAGGTACTTCAGAAGAGAATGGGATCAATTGGACACTTTGGAGAGGTAAAATTTTATCTGCTTTAATTTTGCATTTATATTATGTTTATACATTTGATTTTCTTTTTATTGTTTCTTTTCTAAAAGCTTTTCAAAAATGATAAATATTGAATTCAAAAATATAGAAGGTTGTAAATAGTTAGTTAACTTAAGATCACTTGCTAGAAAATCATTTGAAGTCCACAGGCATTGGATATATTCTCAAGATTGGTCCTTTGTAAACAGACATGTCATTTTTTGTGTTTTATGCTTGACCAAAGATAAAAAAAATAAGGTAGTCTATAAAGACAAGAATGATAGATTATCTCAAAGAATAATAATTCCATATTTTGTCTAAGTAGATACATTTATATCATTCCACATGGTGTAGCCTGGTGGTTTAAAATCTGAGAAGTCTGTTGGATCTTCCTCACCTTGCATATGCCTCACATAAAAGAATAATGATCATGCCTTAGAAACTATAAAAGATAGAACACTTTATCAAAATTTATACTTGTATAAAAATTCAATTAGCTTACTTTCTAAGGATCAAAAATATGTTTATTTTTTCGATATAACTAGTTCCAGCATTGTAACAGTGTTTTTCTTTAATGATCAAATAGTCTGGGTCTTTGATTTTGGCTTTTTTATAATATGCAGTTCTTTTTTATACAAATTCCTCTTGGAGGCCTTCAATAAAACATTTGGTAACAATATAGTAATAATATAATAAGCAATTTTATAAAAATTTTTGAGAAAAACAAGTAAATTCAAAACAAAACTTTGTAGTTAAGATAATCTTTTTATTATAAATCATGACTTATTATTATTTAGTATATAAGAATCTAACATGAATCAGTATATAATATAAATGACTCAGCATTGCAATAATTTAACATGAGTCAACTAATAATTTTTTTGGCATCATAATAATTACAAACAACTAAAATGTTTACTAAATTTGGTACTACAATTATTAAACATGCCAACAATTGCATATTTTCTATATTTGGGATTAGATTGTTAAACAGGTATAGTTATACAGAATATGATGATAATTTTATATGCTATATCTGATATATTTAAGTTCATTTTACAAATTTAGAATAACTGTTATTTATAATTTCAACATGTCGGTCAAACATCTAGCATCACAAATTTTTTACTAAAATATGATCCATGCTAGAAAAAATAAAGTACTACTGTTATTATATGACTTAACAGTCTTACAGATTCACTTTTATTTTGGCCAAGATCAAAGCTAAAATAGTAAAAATTTAATATTCATGTTTATTAGATAAAAAGTTTATTAGCTTTAATAATCAATGGTCAGCATTGAATTTTATGCAATATTACATTAATTTTTTATGATTGATTTTTGATAACGAATATCTAGAAAGCCTTTTCTTATTATATATGATACTGCAATAAGAAAAAGCACAAATAAAACTTAAAAAAGCTATAATAGGGAAGAATACAACTTTCTTTATCAGTAGTTTTATGGATCATAGATCTCAGACTTTGTCTGTCAATTCATATGTTACTAGAACTTGGAATCTTTGCCATTTCCAGATCATCAACTTTTTTCACTTTGTAGTAGTAATCATCAAATCTAAGAAGGTTTAATTTTACTTAAAAAATAATGAAATAGATTCAGTATTTAGAACTTATAGCCAAACGAGGTTGCTTTACATGGCTGGATCTGGTATTGTGTTAAAGTAATACAATTACTAATTATGTAACTTTTTTTTTTGACAGGTTTTTTAGATCTATTGAATAAGTAATATAAAAATAAATGATATAAAAATAAGTGATTTTTGTTAGTAAGGTAAGTTATTAATAACTTTTTTTTCTGCTCATGTATATTTTTACTTGATTCACTTGGCTGTAATTTATTTTTAATTTGCTATTTCATTTAACAGAAGCTATAAAAACAAATTTACTTATCATGTTTTTTGTATTTAGATATGAAAAATAAGTAGTAATAAAAAAGCTACTCTCAAGACCAACAATAGTAATGCCTCCAAGACTAATAATAGTAACATCTCCAAGACCAACAATAATAACACCTTCAAGACTAGCAAAAGTAATGCTTCCAAGATTAGCAAAACTAATGCCTTAAGACCAATAATAGGAAAGATGACTATGATATATAAAACTCTACCTTTTCACATATATTTAAAGTTAGAAAAAATAAAGCATATAAATAATTACTTATATAGTAATATTTTATTTAAATTAGATAATTCGACCTATGACCCTTTAGAAGATGATAACTATAACATTGATGAAGGCAGACCCTTGAACAATCTTTTGAGAGAAAACTTAGAAAAGGAAGAGAAAAATGTTGATAATGATTATAGAAATCTCGATAAATAACAGGAAATATTAGATTAAATATGAAACCTACCAACTTTTTTTTATTATATTATAAAAATATATATTTGTATATTGTTGTTTAGACAAAAAAAATTTATTAAATAAAGAAGGTTTCTTATACTCCACTATCGTTTATTTTTTATTTTTACATAATTATTTATGCTATTACATTAATTCTACCTATATAATTAAACATGCATCTGATATTATAAGATTCTCTCTTATACTGGCCTATAATATTTTCTTTATGACTTAAATTGCAAGACAGATATAAGAATTTAGACATATTGCAATGATATATATCATTAGAATTAGTACTACAACTCAAAGATATACCCAGATACTGCTTCAATACCTTGTTGATAAGGTCCTTTTGCTTTTCTTTTATATTCTCTTTTTTTACAATTACCACTTAGATTCCATTTTGATATACTTTTATACAATAAAGACAATAAGTTTCTTCACCATAATAATCACCACTACCTTATTCACCACTAACATTATCATTTTTATGCTTTTTATTATATACAAGACATGTTTTTGTATAATTAAAATGATCAGTATATTTACAACTATGTTTAAAAGATAAATTAATGAATTGTTCCAATACTATTTTTATTACATATTTTTATTTTTCCTCAAGATTGTTAAGTAAAATAGAAATTAGAAGTCAGGATTTGTTAGATACATTTACCTAGGATATAGGTGGCATACTTACCTCAGTTTCTGAATTAACAGAAATAGATGAGTCAAAGACTTAAGACTTTAGATGCATTTACCTCAGCTTCTGGTAATTCTAAGGAAGCAGAGCTTCAAGTCTTTGACTCATCTTGATCATTTTCTTGAGATAGTTCAGTCACATGCATATCACACTTATCATATCTGTTAAAGACTTGAAAAAATCATTTATAAGGTTTTGAATTTGAATATTCTTTAGATTTGAAATAGCACTTGCACTGTAAGTTATTTAACTAATTTTATCAATTCCTATTCCTTCATAGAATATATATACTTTTTTCACTCTAAAAGTTATTTTACGCAAGTTTACATCAATAACATCAGGAAGGAGTGATTTGATTTCATTATATACTATTGTTCTTGCCGATTGGTCATTAGTATTATTCACAGATTTAACATTACTAACTCGATTTTCATATGCTTTATAATAGCAATACTAGCACAAACTTTTCTTAACTATATTTTGCAATGTAACCTTACCAGATCCTGTTAAAATCGATTCTAAAGCAAATTTGGGAATCTGAATATCAAATACTTTATTAATATTATATTTATTATCTTTGGTGCAAATAAATAGCTCAAGTCTTAAACCTCATTTTGCTTTTTGATTATAAGGAATTTTCTGATTAAGCAATAGCTTAGTAGGAGAAGCAGAGCTTCGAGTCTTTGACTCATCTTGATCGTTCACAGTTTTGAAATCATGTGATAATTGGACAACATCGACTTTTTCTGATTCTACTAAAGGTAAGCTTTGGTCCTGAAGCTTCTTTTCCTTATTTTTCTCTTTTATCATATTACTAATCCTTTCCTTTTCTTTTTGATCTAGAAACTCATTGATCATTTTATCTTCTAAAGATATGGGAGTATTATAAGAATTTACTGTAGACAAATTAGAGATAAGCTGTAAACTCGAGAATTTGTCTCTTCCCTCTGCCTGTTGTGAAACATTAGTAACAGTTTTTTCTTTATTTCTTTGTTCTAAATTCGTAATTCTGATTTCATGTTCTTTTAAAGTTTGTTTTAACTTCACATTATCAGCTTTAACTTTCATATTCTTAGCTTTCAGTTCTATATTCTCGGTTTCAATTTCAGTATATTTCTTTTTAAGTTTAAGTATTTCTGCGTTTTCCTTCCTAAGTTTATCAATCTCAGCTACAAGCTTATAATTCAATTCTCTCAACAAGTCATCTTTAGATTGTATGTTTGCCATTTTTTATATAAAACACAGATATATTCAATTCTTTTATATATTTTCATCGAAACATGCATGCTACGTAAACAAAAAATAAATAAATCCAAAACACATGACTGCGTAAAAAAATTCTTGATCATAGGCGAATTAATATACATCGACAACAATAAATAAAATAAACTCACGAAATGCATATGCAAAAGTAAACACGATTATGTATGCGAAATCGGTCACCAGGGCAGCTTTATTAATATCATGTATTTTATATCAATAAAGTTTTTTTAATTTGTATATTGTCATTCTGCAATGATTTTTTTTTCATAAAATAAAGCAGGATTCTAAGAAGTGCTATTATTTTGAAATATAGCTTTGATAGTTGTATTTGGTAGTTTATTATATCTAGTTTGCCATGAAAATTTCGATCAATGGTGGTGACCGATTCTATTCATAATTAGCACTATCTCAACATAAACACCCTAATAAGCAAATATTCTGAGTTATTATTTATTTATAAAGCAAATTAATTTGTAGTTTATTAATACATGTATATGTATATGCTAGACAACTATTATTCAATGTAAGTAGCATATTCTGGAGGTACCCTTATTGACTGTTGTTTTTGGTTGTCCAAATTAAGAACTTCACCGCCATTATACCGCAATTCATAGTTCGTAACCCAAGTTATCATGTAACTTTCAGTACTGGCTGCCACTATGTGTGGTACATTTGTATTATTAGTCAGATCTCTGAGTGTCATCCCGGCTGGAATTCAGATGGAATTTCCTTGACCATTTGTAAAATAAATTCTTGCAATGTTTTGATCGACTCTTTGGATTTTTACTAGGATATTATTATTAATAATGATAACGTTAATGGTGTTGTTCTTGTAGGAGAAGCTTCTTCTAAACATAGTAGGCAAGAGGTTGGAATCTGTTTTTTCCATTGTTTTTAATGATTATTATATTTTTGTGAAAAATCGTTTCGGATAAGAAATGTTAAACAAGTCCAAAATTTTGTGATACACATACCGGTAATCAAAGCTATGCTTTATATTAAAAATTATCACATGAATCAAATAACCAGCGACTAACAAACTGGGCTCCGACAATTGATAGAACACTTCTTCGCAAGTAAGAAATGTTATCAACTTGCCCAGTAAAGAATTTTATTTTTATGCGATCTCATACTCTCAAAACAGTTTAGTGAATACATGACACAGTAATTGCTTACATAAAAATAACTGCATAAAATTTAATGATAATACATTTAGTGCTATTTATATCAAGAAAATCCTGGGCTAAAGATCACTTCTGACCCTATCCAGATCCAATAAAATCACAGGATCTCGTGTAACAAAACAAACACGAAAAACATAAGAAATTGTAAAAAAACATAAATAACACAAAAATTTACTATGATAACTACCTTCCGACCTCTAAATAAAAGTTTTCAAATGAAATTTTACTTATAGAACACAATTTTTAATGCTAGATATATAGGGAATTTTTGAGATACTACGACCTATATTTTTTTGGCCAACAGCTCGGGATTTTCTTGATATAAGAATACCCATGCTAGCTAAGCTTATATAATGAGAACACACGATTCGTGACAGAAGTCACATGATTACAGTTTGTACCTCTGGTATCCTTCCTGCCAAAGTCACATTCTTGATGACACTTTGAATTTGATTAATAGTAAGGCTTGAAAGGTTATAAACACTAAAAGTAACCTGCTTAATTTTATCTATTTCCACTTCGCTTTCCCCAAATAACATATGGATTTTTTTAGCTTGTAGGGTTCTTATATGCAAGTTTCTCAATGTGATTCTAGGTAAATGCTCTAGAATTTCTTTGTATATTAGTTATCTAGCTGTTTTATCTGAAGCCTTAGTGTCATGGTAAATCTCATCAACTTTATTTTCAAAGCTATTTGAATAATAGAGTCAAGATAAGATCATTTTGTGTCCAGCTCATATTGCATTCTAGAATAAATGAACTAAGTTTTGCATCATATCTAGAGATGATGGATGTAACACAGAAGATGTAATCTGCTCTGCTTTAAGGGACTCCTATATCTAGAACTATTTTAACACATGTTAATGTTAATGAATATCTGTTACATAGCAAATTATATAAAATTATGTATCGATTCTAATTTATTTTTACTAAACATTAGTTATTTGAGAATTATCATTATTACATTTACATCACTTATATATTCCATCTGCTACTTTTTTGCATATTTTGCAATATAGGTGTGAATAATAATTGCATTCGTCACAAACCTTACACCCATGCCTTCACTCTTTAAAAATATGCCACTTTTCGGTATAATTTTGTTTGTATATATTATTCAGATTTTTTATTATTATTATACATATATTAACAGAAAAAATATAATGTGGCTAAAAATTTTTATTATATATATAAACCTATAATGTATGTTTGTGACCCGTTTATGCATTATGATAAGTCTTATAAAGAATTTCTAATTTATTCTGCAAGTATATTTTTTGTTATTATGTAACGTTGTACTGTACAGCAGTGTTGTACATTGGACATGTCCATACTATGTAAAATGTCCAATGTCCAAGATTGTCCAAAATCATCCAAGTCTATGTTTAAAGTTTAAATAATTAATAAAGTATATTAAAAATATATATAATTATATATTTTTTTAGGTGTTGGATTCATTTATAAAAAAATTAAAATATATTATTTTAATAAAATTTTGAATAATTTTAATTTTAAAAAATGTCCAAAAGTGTCCAAAAGTGTTCATGTAACAACACTACTATACAGTATGTAATTTATTTTTATCTGTTACTAAATTTAATCTTCCTAATAAGATAAATAAAATTCTTAGTAAATGAACATATTTAAAAATCAAATCACAAATATATCTTTATTAATTTTGTAGATATATAAAAATAGATTAGGAAGAGTCTTAACAAAGTCAAAAAAGTAGCAGATGTTTAAAGGAAGAAATTTCTTAAGCCCTAACCTATAAAATGAGAGTTTTTTCCTATTACTCTGAATTATTAGCTAAGTTAAAATTATTTTTATTATCTATCCAAGCACCTATTTTATTTAAAATATTGTCTCTAAAATCATTATTATTATAATGAAAGTTTTTTATAGTTTTCTTACTAATCTTTCCTATTTCAAGACTATAAATCTCAACAGACATCATATTACACATATTGTCTAAAGAATAATTATTGTCTGTCATAATCTTATCAAAAAGAATTTTAAAGTGATTTCTGGTTATTGAGATAATATCAGAAAAAGATAATTGACTTGAGCTACTAAAAGAACTCAGAGAAGAACTAGAAGATCTTTGGAAAGAATTAGATGTAGATACAGATAGAAATTGTTTAGATATTAATAGTGCTACAGAACCTGTCTCAGTTATTTGGTCCAACTGATCATGAAAGGATTCATAATTAGTAGTGATTTCATTAACAGTTTTAATTACAGTATTTATCATTGTCAAAATTTTTTGTCTCTTGACAACAAATATAGCATTCCTTGTTATAAGATCTGCAATTAATCTTTTCACATGTGCATTAAATTCTGCGATAAGTTGTTGTTTAATAATATACATGGCGAAGCATGTGGCAACAGAAATTAGATGGACAGGAATTTTCTTAGTGAACATTAATATGCACACAAAGGCCAAAAATAAGACAACTTTTGAAACATTAACTGAAAACATATCTATAATGGAAAAAAAGATTATTAGTATAGATACATGAGCATGGATAATAACCCAGGAAATATGCAACTCAAAATCAACCTTAATTCATATGAAATGGGTGAAATTAGTAGAATTTATTTTGTTGTTCTTAGTAAGATTACTATGCTGAAAAATATTATTATTTTAGATACAAGATGTGAAAGCTTATTAAATAGTTTATTTTTATAGATATTACTAATAAGAGAATAGAAGAAATGACTAAAGATTTTTGGATTCTTTTTATACAAGATTTCATGACTTAGAATCTGATTCATTGCTTTTGTTAGTAAAGGTCAAAACATACTAGAAAAAAATATTAATTATATTATTATCATGTTATTATTAATTTATTATCAAAAACATAGCATAAATTCTGATTTTGAGAATAAAGACCTAGATCTAGAGACTTAACAATATATGGTCTGGATAATGCTAAGTAAGATAAGTAACATTTATTAAAACTAGTATATCTGATGAATATTTATAATTACAATAATAACCATCATATACAATTAATAACTGATTTCTGAAATAACATTAAGGCGATATATGATCTTATTTAGAATTTAACTTTTATAATGCTACTCAATTTTTGGTTAGACATCAAATATAATTTTATTATTCCAAGTATATATAATCGATCATTGACAAATTTATTCTATTTTATTAGTAGAAGTAACAAGACTAACATATTATTCCTTATAATATAAAAACTTTTATAGCAACTTTGATATATAGGCCAAATATTGCTAAGCAAGCCATTAGGCGATTCTCTGAATCATGATCTAAAAAGTTTACTATATATATACTACTGAAAATATGCTAAAAAGTTTGAACAAAAACATAATAAGTTCGAGTATTATTTTATGGCAATTGATTAATTCATCCAAGATATATATAATATTGCTACCAAATGTGATTTAATAAATTGTGACCCAGACTAAGATTTGCTTATGTTGGATTTACATATGACATTATCTCCAAGGCTCATTATAACATGACATGATTTAATTTTGTGATCACAATCTGGACTAACTGATTTTTATGTAATATATTTTTATTATCTATAATTGAAGCATGTATTTAAATGCAAAGTTAATCAAATAGCCAACTGAAAAAATATATATGGCAGATGGGTAAGTCAGCTTTCTTCTTCTTACATTAGATATTTTATATATATATATATTTTTTTTTTCGGTATTAAGGTGACCTCTTTGGTCTAAGCTTTTTATTAATACTTATAGTGGGTACATATTTTATATAGACGTATCTATAATGAACTATTAGATGAATGTACAACTGGCTACACATATAACTTTTCTATATTACTTATTTAAGAAGTCTGCCTGAAGGTTCCCTACCTCTGCTTAGGTGTTCTATTTAAACCCTCTAATCTAACCTTAGTATTAATTTCATCAGGTCACAGACCCAGATCTATTCACATTCGACCATAGGACTATAATCCTTAGACTATTTTTATTCTCGAGGTAAACCTACCAGAATAAGTCATATTCCCTTTTACTACTAACCTGGTTTGATGCTATGGCCAAGGCCAACACTTGCAATTAGGGTTACTCCTTAAACTACTATTACCCTTGTAAAGTTTACCTAAATCCTGATACCCATCTTTCTGACTTCTTCTTTATCATCTTCTACTAGCCACAACTCAGAACTAACCAATTCACCAGACTCCCAATTCAGATGGCCTAGTATGGTATACTTATGTATCCTTTTCCTTTAATGATTCTGGCAGTCTGGTTGGTCATATGCTCCTTTACATATCTTTGTCATCCAGTTTACCTAATTAGTTCTTATAAAAGTGTTTTATGAGCTTTCATCAGTCCAATAGCACCATCGAAAGTTTGCGCTATCTCTTTACTTAGGATTTCTAAGTGAGTTTTTGTCTCTTCGGTTTCTTAGCCTTCTATGCTCAGTGGTCTTATTGTAGGTTTGCCCAAAGCCTTATATGATACCAGTTTTACATTCCTCTATGTACATGTACCATGTAACATTACATTTCACATAGATGCCCCGAGCTCCCAATGTCAGATGGGACCCGACTTGGTGTACCTAAGATTACAGATGCCCAAAACTCAACCAATTGGCAAGAGACAGTTATCGTAACACTGATATAATTTCCAAAATTCATCATCTGTGGGAATTGAACTTTAGACTTGCTACTTGAGAGTTGACAACCTATCCACTTCACTAAATCACCGCACCCTAGATATTTTATATATTCAAATGTATCTTCTCTAAAATTATATAAATCTAGAGGGTTTTTATAATTATAGTCTTCAATATTTGACAATATTGTATTTCTAATTCTTTTATTGAAGATTATATTATTATTTAATAAATACCTTTCTACTTTTATGAGCTTATCAAATATTGTTAATGTATTATTATATATGGGCTCAATTTCATTATCATTTATATATAATCCTCTTAGCATCTGTCTAATTTTTCTAATAAATTATGGTATTTTATATTAAAGTATTTTCACCTTTTATAAAGTTTATAACAAATTTCTTTATACCATATGTGATTAATATAAATACAGTCATTTAGATCTTCTGTTGACATTTTTTGAATGATTTTAGCGATGGTTTTTGAAAGTGTAAATGGGTTAAATATATGCATATTATATTGTATATATCAAACGTGTAGGTTTTATTAACTAAGACTTTTTATTCTTTTAGAATTTTGTTAATATCTTGATTTTATATCAAGTTTTTCAACTTGAAGTATTCTGTGAATGTTTTTTTTATTTTAAAGAAAAAAAATATTAACTATGTATATATTTGGATCATTGCTATGATCTAAACTCTATGATTTCAGTTACAAAGAAGACAAATAAGGCATATATTCCTTTTAATATGCCCTAAACTATTGTGAATTTGATCTACTGTTTACTGAAGTATATCTTCTAGCTGATCTTATTCGAATTTCATTTTGATGAGACATAATGCGCATTTGTCTTCTTGAATATATTTTAATATGAGGATATAATCAACTGTTAGATCAAATTTACAATCTTTTTCTTTGTCCTGGCCTATATATCCAATAAGTTTTTCTAAATAGATGGTCTCAATTTGTGCTTTAGCTGTCTTTTCTTTTTTGCCATCTCAATCTCTTGAGCAATTTTAGGAGGTAATGAAGGTGCTTCAACCCAAATGAGTTGGTTTAAATATTCCACATAACTAACTGCCAAATATATTAAATTATCTCAGACTAAGTTTTCATCAATAATCCAAATATGCTGTGGTGACTTAAGAGTCATTACCTGACTAATATGAATAGTCATAGCATATTCAAGTTTCCAATCTATAACTTTTTTATCCACCAATATATCTTTTAAGAATTTGTTAAGAAGTGTATTTAAGAATAAGTATATTGTTATTTTTTACTAACTCCTTCTTTTCAGATAGACCAAGGATCTGAACAAGGCAGTTTTTTTTGTATCCATCTCTTGGCCTATAAATTAATAGGATTGAAATTTCAGGATATTTTATTTGATAAAGTTCTAAACATTTTTGGAAAACAATTCTCTGGAAAAGTATATATGCTAATAATATGCGATCTGAAAGAGTCTATTTATTTTTGAGACATTCATATTTTTCTATAGTTGAGAGAAGTTCTCGAAATAATTTTGATTGTATTCGATTATTTTGTTGACATATAGCTTTTTTGAGTTTACATAATTTAGGACATTTTGCACGATAATTAGTTAAAACTTCTTTGTAATAATTAACATATTCTTTTAACCAATTATATGGCATTTTTCCAAAGAATTGTGGAAGGTGCACATTGTTATTACAACAAATTACCTAACATTTATGTTCTAACAAATAATTAATAAAAATTTCAAAAATATGCTTAGGAACTGTACATACCTCATCCCAAATAACAACTCGTGGAAATTTTTTCTCTCTTATGCATTCAGATGTCCACTCTCTCACTCTATTTTATCTAAAGAAGCTATGCCAAATTTGAGCTTTAACATTATGTTTTTCTTAAAAATCTTTAGCTAATACATTCATATGAGTGAAAATAATCATGTTTATGTCTTTAAAAATTCTAATTACTTGTGTTGTTTTATCAGATCTTCCTCCTTTATTAAGATATAATTTTTGATATCTTGTAATAGGATCATAAATTGATGGAACCTACTATTTGAAATATCTTTGATTAATTTCCAATGCTTATTCTTTGGCTAGTATACAATATTAGCAACTGGTCCATATATTTTTTCATTCTTATTACACTATTGACCAGGTTGAATTTTTCAAACCTCTTGTTCTTCTTGCTGATTAACTGCTTTTGACAAGAATCTAATTTATAAAACTATTTTCCAAAGCAAAATCTGCAAACAAATAAAGTATGCCTTTTATATTCATATTTTACTAGAAGCCTTTTTGTTTTTAGAAACTCTTTAATCCATTTTGCATATTCTGATTTTGAAATAAGAAATTCTTCTAAATTATTACACATTGCACAAGAAGGATAGTGTAAACATAAATTTGGATCCAACTTTACCTCAACTTGGTTAAAAAATGCCAGTATATTTTTGATCTTATATAATGCCTCTTTTTGTACATATTTAGAATCTGTAGCAATCCTTACTACTTCATTAAAATCAAATCTCCAAAGCATTTCTAATAAATTAATATGTGCATATACTAACATTGAGGCCTGCAAGTGTGTATATTGAGATTGATGTCTCTTGTAATATGTAAGTATAAATCCAAGTGGATATTCTTCTCTTCCGGCAAAAGTTCTGACATCAGTACAATCTTTGATCAAGAAATTGAGTTCATCTCTATCTATTACAAGTTTATATGTGAGATGTTTCTCATCAATCTTACCACCTTGCATGAACTTTATTATAATTGCACAACTAATATCTCAATTTCTAGGTAGCCATACTTTGGTCTGTTTAGTAAGAGAAATTATTGCTTCTCCAATAGTCACACTTTCTAGAATACTAACCTCAAGAAGATATCATAGAAGTACAATAGGTGCCTATTCTTTTTCTTTCTCACATCTTTCTCTACTTCAATATGCAAAATGTTTTTTGTACCAAATAGGAATCACTGAATGTATATTTGATGCAAATTTAAAAGATCTTATTTGCACAAATCCAGTAATATCATCCTTTGGCAATTCTTTATTTATCACAACTCGAACAAGGTAGTGTGTTGGATGTCTGAACCTATTAACCATAGTGTACATTCTCCTTGATCTCATATATTTGCTAAATAACATTCTTTCATATTAATACATACAACATCATTAACATGATAATCAGGTGCATTTCAGTGTCCATTATGCCCATGCTTGACACAGGCTTGTCTTATATTTTCATTTACTTTTCCAGATATTGGATGCTATTTATTAATTTTATTAGCAAATCAGCTTCTAGCATAGTTTCTACCAAATACCTGCTCTGCTAAATTAACAACTTTTAGAGACTTTGAAAGAATCAATTTCTTTTTCTTATTGATTATTTTTTTCTGATATTGCCAATCTATTGTATCATTGACTAGTTGTTTGCATGCTTCTATAATTTCTGTATGCTTTTTCTATGTTCTAAATGTGTGACTATCTTTTAGAACAAATTAAGATATTGTTTGGTTTTCACTTCCTACTTCTATAAGCCAAATTATGAGAACTTTTAAGGGCATTATTTATAGCTTCCCAAGTATTATTCTTATAATATTTGACCATTCAATCTCTTGGGAAATGCTGGTTTTTTGGAAATGCATAGCTATTATAAACTACCATTCTGATTTTTTCATACTTATCTGATTGATACTTTTTACTATTAAATATAGTACTATGGGTTATATCAAGTAATTTAATTAGTCATTTAAGAATTTTTTCTAAGTTTGTCACATCTTGTACTCAAGTACTGGGAATTTGTATTTTTTTCTCTCATGTATCAATTTTTTGCTGACAAATATTTGTAAGCCCATGCCCTCTCTTGGCTTGATCAAAATATTCTACTACTCACTGAACTATACAATTAAGTGCTCCATCTTTTATGGGCATTAATCAATTAATATCTGGTTTTCAGATTTGATATAATCTATAAACTACTGCATTGCTTTCAAGTCTTCCTACTTCAGATTGCTTACTGACTTTTCTAACTAGAAATTTTTCATCTATTCCTACCCAAAAGCCTGGTTTCATTTTCTTTGTAAGTATGACATTTGGACCCTCTCTGACATATTTTTTATCTGCCTTTTTTGATTCATAAATAGGCTCATATTTATCAATAATTTTAAAAGCAATCTTTGTTTGAGATTTATCTCCATATACAAAATCATCTCAAATAAATTTTACCCTTATTAAGAACTCACCATTATTGATCGTATTTAAAATTTCTTAAGCCTGCTTTTCAGTCATCTTAGTCTCAAATTTTTTTGATTTTATTTCTTGTTTCATATGTTTTAACCAGGCTTTACTTTCTTTATCTAATGCTCTATAAGCATCTATTGCCAATTTTATGATTTCATTGATTTCTTCTTTTTCTGAATAATTCTGATATAGGCATTGTAAATATACCTCCTGCATAGCTTCATTTTTATTTTCTGCTTCTAATATTATACTGGCCAAATCTATCTTTTTAGCTTTGGTAAACCAGGTTAAGAAAGCATATTTAGCTACTTTAAACATATTCTTTGCAGTTTGAATTCTATTTTGCTATATTATATGATGCTTTTCATTATATGGAAATCAAACTGGCCATGGTACTTCTACATCTAAATCTAGAAATCCTTCTTTGTAAATAGGCAATTCTTGAACAGATTGCAATTCTATATTATCTAATAGTGTAGTTTGTTGAATTACTATTTCTTCTGATTTAGTAAGTCTACCTTTATAATAAACTTAGATATGAGGGCCTAGACCAGCTTCAGGAAAGGCATAGCCTCAAGTCTCTGACTTATTAATTTTTGGCTATATTATTGGAAATGTTTCACACTGAAGATTTGCTTTCTCAATTTCAGATTCATCAAAAAATCCTTGCTCTTTATGCTTTTCTTCTTCTGTTGCAAGTTGAAAATATGCATTTGGATTCAGTTGCAATAATTCATCATAAAGAGCTTTGGTTTTGGCCAAATTTTTTGGCTGACCATGATCCTTGTCACCTAATTCTTTGACTTTTTTTGTAATCTCGATCCCTATTGTTTAACAGACTTACCTGATTTTCTAGCATTAGGATCTTTTACTACTTGAAATTGTAAATCTAAATTAGACAAGAGTTCAGAGCTAGAAACTGGCACAGTTGCTTGTAATATATTTTGAGGTGCACAAGAGTGCTTTCTTTCAGTTAAATAATACTTAAATTTTTGGTTTGTTGTGAATATATTGCTACATCTTAGACAAGGTCTATATCTATATATAGTTAATCGATTTATATATATTACCTTAAATATTTTTTTCTTTAAATTTAAATTTTATTCTATATAGTCTAACTTAAGTATATAAAAAGGCCATCAGAGAGCCAAAAAACATGTTTCTTGCACTTTCTGTGCGAAGTCTACTGCCTTTGCTTCTGGCCATTGCCAGGCTCATATTAGTGAGTTTTATGTTTCTCAATATATTGTTCAACTTAAAAATGCTTACTGATAACTCACTGCACTTCATTTGTTCATAATTGGAATGGATTTCAAAGACTCAAACTATACAAGAAAGCAATATAGTAACTAGATACTCCATTTCACTTTGCATTTCAGGCACTTTGCACTCTTATACAGTTAGCAATAATGGATTTTAAAGACTTACTAAACAAGAAAGCTAAAATGTTATCTAGATATATTTCAAAGCAAAAAAATGTCAAATAGCTATACAATATATTTTTTATATAATGAAAATGTATCATAAAAAGCAAAATGCTTGTCATCAAAATTAAGTTTTCGGAGACTCCAGCTAAGCAAGAAAACAAATCATAGTTTTTGGTCTTTTTAAATATTGATTAATTAGAATACTAAATTATTATTCTTGGAGCTTTCAAGTGCTAATTTAATCAGAATACTAAATTATTGTTCTTGGAGCTCTCAAGTGTTGATTTAATCAGAAAACTAAATTATTGTTCTTGGGACTCTGAAAGGGTTATTTTTAACCAAAAAAATCTAGCCTCTAGAATGTATTCCTGAGTATTTTATATAAAAAGATAATATAGATTTTGATGATTTAAGAGCTTTTAACTTACATATTCAACTTACTCAAAAATTCTATAAAATAGAAAAAAAGTTTGCTTACCCTTCCTGCTGCTTGATTACTAATTCTTGTTTTTTTTTTTAGATTTTGTGCTTCACTGAGAAGGGTTAATGAAGGCTAGAATTTGGATTTTGAACTAGGATAAGTATTATTTCCTTTTTTTTGTTTTTTTTTGTTTATAGTTTTTTTTTATAGTTACTAATTCTTGTTTTTTTTTCTTTAGGTCTTGTGCTTTGCCAAGAAGGGTTAATGAAGGCTAAGATCAGAATCTTGAACCAGAATAAGTATTATTTCTTTTTTTTGTTTTTTTTTTGTTTTTTGTTTTTTTTTATAGTTACTAATTCTTGTTTCTTTTTTTTTAAGTTTTGTGCTTTACCAGAAATAGTTAGAGGCCAAAATTAGAATCTTGAACCAGAATAAGTATTATTTCCTTTTTTTTGTTTTTTTTTTTTTTTGTTTTTGATTTTTTTTTATAGTTACTAATTCTTGTTTCTTTTTCTTTAGGGCTTGTGCTTTGCCAAAAATGATTAATAGAGGTCAGAATTAGGATTTTAAACTAGGAACTGGTAAATATAAGTACCATTTCTCTTTTTTTTTATTTTTTTTTGTTTTTATTTTTTTAATTGTTGTTACTAATTGTTGTTACTTTTTTTTAGATTTTGTGCTTTACTAAAAATAGTTAATGAAGGCCGAGATCAGGATCTTGAACTAGGAACTGATAAATATAAGTATTATTTTCTTTTTTTTTCAATTTTTTTTTCATTTTTTTAATCGTTGTTACTAATTTTTGTTTCTTTTTTTTTAGGTCTTGTGCTTTGCCAAAAATAATTAATGAAGGTCAGAATCAGGATCTTGAACTAAAACTAGTACAAAGATAAGTACTATTGCCCTTTTTCTTTTTGTTTTTTTTCATTTTTTTTCATTTTTCATTTTTTTTGTTGTTGCTATTCTTGTTTTTCTTTTTCTTTAGATCTTGAGCTTTACCAAAAAGAGTTAATGAAAGGGTGTGGCGACCTAGTGAAGTGGTCAGATTGTCAACCTCCAAGTGGCAGGTCCAGAGTTCAAATCCTAGTGTTGACGGAAAATTTGAAAATCCTCCCTGTGTTACAGTTAACTGTCTCTCACAATTGGTTGGGATAAGACACCTGTAATCTATGTCACACCAGCATGACTGGCAGGTCACATGGCATTTGTGTAATGGTCACATGACATTGTCCTTTGGGACAAGGTCT